TGTGTGTGTGTGTGTGTGAGAGAGAGAGAGAGAGAGAGAGAGAGAGAGAGAGAGAGAGAGAGAGAGAGAGAGATGGCCTGTGTGCTGGAATGGCGATTGGTCCTTGTACTAACCTGTGGCCATGTGTGGTTGGGGTTGCAACGTAGAGTTGGGAAAAGAGAGGCCCGCGGAGGGTAGAAATCAGGTAGCAGTGGATGGGGCAGTAGAAAAGGACAGAAAGGTAGAAGTTTTGGGTAGGCCGAGTGAGGCTGCTGGAGGTGCTCACCAGTTGGGCGAGGTGCTGTATGGAAGAAGGTGGCGAAGCTGGGCCCCCACCTCGGCTATGGTGGAGGTAGGAGAAGACATGGCTATGGTGGACAAGTGAGGGAGGAGGAGGAAGGAGGAGGAGGATAGTGAAGAAGGGAGCTTACCTTGGCTATGGCGGTCTGCATCTTCATCTTCTTGTTTGTCGCTGCACCTGCAGGGCCCCAAGGGGGGTGATACTTGGAAGGAAGACTCCAGGGGCGGAATGTGGCATGCTGTCCATAGGGGGAGACGCATGGTAGCCTTCCATTGTCCTTTGTGCATCGACGCCAGGCTCTGATGGTCCGCCATAGACAGCAGCTTAACCGAGTAGCAGGTCTAGAAAATGCCTATGGTGGGCTTCTTGACTGGCCGGAAGTAAGGAGAGGATTCGGGCATTGATTCTGGCTCATTCATTCATTCATTGTTGTTGTCAATGTTCTCACTAATAAGATGCCGGGAGAGATGCTGGAGTAGGGAGATGGTGGCGAGTTGAAGAAGAGCTGGCACTGGTTCTTGCTCGTCTTCTTCTTCTTCTTCTTCTTCTTCTTCTTCTTCTTCTTCTTCTTCTTCTTCTTCCATTCTTCGTCCTGTCTCTTTCTGTTTTCACGCTCTTTCATTTCAGTTCCAATTGAATGGCATTGTCTTTTTGATAGTTTTTTTTTGAGTTTTTGCACTGAGAGGTATCGAGGATCATAACAGATTAGTTCAGCTTATTTTTAATGGATTGCATATCGAAAGGGGGGTATTAAATTAAATAATATTATAATTATTATAATTTTAATGGATTGCATATCGAAGGGTGTGTCGGGCGCAGTTGATAACTTGTTACCCAACGTATCCCATCGGGACGCTGAGTATTAAATGAAATAATTTAAATGAATTTAAGATTTCATAAATTGAAATTTGACAAAGATGAATTGACTAACAATTTTTTTTAATGTAGTTAGTAGTTTAAGAAATAATAATAATGTGATTTCAATTTGTGGCCGGGGCTGTATATGCAGGGCAAGATGGACCACGAGGTGTTTGTGCCAGGTTCAAGGAACAATTCCGAGCCAACGGCAGATTGTCCGTATGATGTCGCACTGGTAGGTATACATACTCTTGTGTGTTTTCATCCTCTTCCTACTGATGAGTCAGTCGGTGAAGCTCCGACAAAACATAACAGTCTCCCACAGCCGTTCCCCCGTTTCTTGCCCTTTTCTCCCTTTCTGCCTACGCTTCACCAAGCAGTTCCCAATGAGGAGAGAAAGAGAATGAGCGCACACACGTGTGTGTGTGTGTGTGTGTGTGTGTGTGTGTGTGTGTGTGTGTGTGTGTGTGAGAGAGAGAGAGAGAGAGAGAGAGAGAGAGAGAGA